CTAGTAAGTAAAGGCGAACAATAAAAATGAAAACTATGATTCTGATTAAAAACCGAATAAAATTAAGAACTAATGAAATATGAAATGACTTGAAATTCAAATTCAAATTGTTTATTGCATGTCACATTACAAATTTAAGATGTTACATTTGATAGGTATACACGTGACGCCCTGCAAGGGCATAGCAACACTAGAGGACTAACTATTTTTGTATAATCAACTTTTAAACATAAATTATAAAATATCATATCGTCAACATTCAATATTATTCTATATAAATTACTTAAATTAGAAATATAATATAGTCGAAGTATTCTTTCTTTGTCATTATTTATCGTCAAAAAATTCTTTCAAAGTATAATAACATTTATTAATAAGGAATGTTTTTAATTTTTTATTAAATTGCGAGTTTTCTAGGATTTTTATAGAATTCGGTAAATGGTTATAAATCTTTATTGACATAACGTGGGGGCTAGTCGAAACTAATTTTAATTTGGAGAAGGGTATCCTAAGCTTATATAAATTTCTATTATTTCTTTTAGTTATTGTAATAGGTGAGGTAGAATTTTGGGTGTTTTCTGACGAATTTACAAGACTCGAGGATGTAGATAGACGTAAGTGTTAGTATTTTATGTTTAATGAAGTGAGGTTTACATGATTCCATTTGGTCTAAATTCGTTAATATTCGTAGACACTTCTTTTGTAATATAAATAATTTGTTTACATGATTTACATCACAAGAGTTTCCCCACAATACGATGCCATAGGAGAGTACCGAATGAGCATGTGCATAGTAAGCCGCAAGGGCAGTCTTAAAATCTGTCACACGTTTGAGGTATTGTAGAGCGTAAATAAAAGAGGATATTTTTTTTACAATATTTTGTATGTGCTGTTTCCAACTCAAATGCGTATCCAGGTCTATTCCTAACAAAGTAGCAGAGTTAACAGTTTCTAGTTTTGTGTTTTTATAGCTATAAGATATTTCTAAAGCAGTTTTTTGGTAGGGTTTAAATTGAATAATTTTAGTTTTATTAAGGTTAAGTTGTAGATTATGTAATTCTAGCCAGTTAGTAATTTTATCTAATGTATAGTTCAATTTTGTTGTTAAATCCGTGGAATTAGTGCAAGAAATTAAGATGGAGATGTCATCGGCAAAGAGCACACATAGATAGTCCAGTATGTTTGGGAGATTATTTATGTAAACAAGAACCAAAATGCATCCCAAAACGCTACCTTGTGGGATAGAACCAGTAATGACAGTTGCATCTGATCTAACATGAGTAATTTTGCCAGTCTCTAAGTCGGTATTTTCAATTTCTACATATTGAAAGCTGTTATCAAGATAGGATTTAAACCAATTGTGAGCTACTCCCCTAATTCCTGTTTGATATAGTTTATCCAATAGTGTTCTATAACAAACTCTGTCATAGGCTTTAATCATATCGAGCAAGAGGCCTACTGCGAATTTTTTATTGTCGATTTCGTCTAGGATGTTTTTTACGTATTTATAAATTGGTGGTAGAGTGGTCTTTTCTAAAGCCATTTTGGTATTCATGTAAAATTTTAAATTTTCATAAAATGAACAAAGACGTTTTGCCATGGCCGATTCAAATATTTTAGCCGACGTAGGTAACAGAGCTATGGGTCGATAATTATTTATGTTAGTAAGTTCACCCTTTTTATGCACGGGTTTAATTAGGGATATTTTGAGGGCATCTGGGAAGACACCTTGTAAAAAAAACTTGTACTGAAGTTTATTCAATAAATTAAGAATATTATATAGAATTAAAATAAAATAAAACTGAATTCTTTACCACATTTAAAATATTAAATGGAACTATATAAAGACTACATATATAAAACTATTAAATTCTGAATAATGAATAAAATTTTATAACTTAATATTATTTAAACCTAAATATTCCATAAGGCAATTGAAAACATTTTTACTTTTTTTAGAATAAATTAAAAGAGAACGAATTTCTGTAGGTAGAGGTATTTTAAGTTTTACCAGTGTTAAATTATAAAGTATGATCATATAAAGGACATGAGAAGAAAATATGGTTGAGGTCACCAATATCTAAACCACACTCATATATATAAGTATTTTTAATATGAATCCTAGCAAGGTGAACCGAATTACATCAGTGACCCAAGCGCATTCTACATAACACTGATGTATGTCCCTTATTTAAGGTTAATTTTTAAAACCGAGGCTTGGAAGGAATGGTGGGTTGAATTTTGGCATATTGACAGCCTTTTGTCGTTTTGGTTTTGTTCCAATATTTTGACCACCTATCTCCATACAATAATTTCGTAGTCCTTATAAGGCCATAGCAATAATTTTTAAATAGGAAAGTCATAGAATTATTACCCAGTAGAAACGCAGTCTAGTACAAAACACGAACGTTAAAGTAACGCAAGGTCATTAGGGTAGTGGGCGCGAGTCGAATGTGCCTACGCTCGTCACATGCACCCATACACGCCATTCAGTGACACCAGTTTCTGGCGTTTGCAATCAAATTGTGCAAATCACTATTTTATTGATTAATTTAAAATAATCGATATAATAAAGATTACGTATTATGTACGAAAACGTATTTTATGAGAATATAAAATGGAATAAAATGAACACGATAATGATGGTACTAATATAACTTTATTATACATATTTTAATGGTACAAAAATGCAGACGTAATAAAATTTAAGAATATTATTAAACACAATAAATTTGCTCGAATACACATCGTGTAATGTTTAATTTTAACCGACTTCAAAAGAGGAGGAGGTTCTCAATTCGGTGTGTTTTTTAATTTTTTACCTCAGAATTCTATAATTTCTAAACCGATTTAGATTTTTTATTTGAAAGCATATACAGACAGATTGATTCAATGGACACGCCGAAATTTTAATGGTTGTTTTCCCGAAGTCAAATGATTTTGTCTTGGCAGTACAATAGATTTATTAAAATAAAAGTTATTAGGATGCAAAAATGGCAGATTTACAATCGAGAAAAACAAAACTTTTTTAATTGTAATATTTTTTATTTTATCAATTTGACTCTACTATCGATATCGAGACAGTATAATTTGGCTGCAAGAAAACAACCACTAAAGTTTCAGCATGTTTAATTGTATATGCGAATTGATCTAGAATCGTCTTAGAAATCAGTGTACATGCATAATTGATAACCTCTCCTTTTTGGAAGTCGGTTAAAATAGACTATGTTTGAGTGTAAAGTGACATCTGGTAAATGTTTGGGTCTAAAGTGACATCTAGTTAGTAAAGGCGTTCTTATTAATAATCTCTTGATGTTGTAAATAAAAAAGTTTTTATTCTATACTTTAAATTCTAAAACGTCGACTTAGTCAATAAACCAAGCAATTAGTATAAAATAGTTGCGTTAAAATGGCTTCGACGGATGGCGATCAGCTGATCACTCCATATTAGTTTTAAATAGGCACCCATTGTTAATATTATGTTAATACCCAGAGAAGTAGGTATCTATATATAAACATTTGCGTTGTGATTAAACGTTTTAAACACAAATAGAAAATAAATATTTTTAAAAGAAAATTGTGATTTTTTTAGCCACAACTAGCAACATTTGTATTATAATAGCTTAAGTACCTATTTTTTATTTTTACGTACTTATAATTAATTATATATATGAACTTAAATGTGAGGTGTAATACCATCACTTTTTTATGTTTATGATCACTGATGAGACAATATTTTACAACACAAACGGTCATATTTACAATTTTTCGTAAGACGTGACGTTGCGCACTTCCCTATATAACATTGTAGTCTTTGTTGCGCACTGACGCTTCGCGGAGTGAACTTACGCGGTTTCGCGTTAGTTTCAGTTCCTTCACTTTTGGTGCGCGTACTAGTGTTCCATACGTAATAATTCTATGAGGAAAGTATTCTCACAGACTATAACTTTTTTAGCAAGTTTGTCAGCATATTCATTACCAGATATACCAATAGACTAGGAATACAAACAAGACAAATGTTGATGTTTTGAAATTGGTATTAGAATAGAAGTTTTTTAGTTTCAAATATCAAAGGATTACGGGAAATGTCATAGAAAGGATTGCATAACAATGCCTGTAAAGAACTAAGAGAATCTGAAAATATCACGCTTGATTTTAATGTAAAACTATAGCAATATTTTATTGCTTGTAAAATGGCTAACATTTCTCCTGTAAAAACTGAAGATTCGGGAGGACTTTTCATTTTTTGAACTATTCTCCAATTTTGATGGAATATTGCGTAGCCAGTGCAACCTTTTCATTTCTTGAAAATGCTATTCTAATATATGTGGTGAAGATTGAGAGACTGTCATATGTGCTTTTACCTTTTCTGAATCCGTATTGAGTATTTGATAACAATCCATGACTTTCTATATACCATCCATGACGATTCTTGATCATGATGTGTTCAAAGGTTTTAATTAGAGTTGAGGATTGAGCAATCGGTCGATAGGAAGAGCCATCGTTAGGGTTTTTGTCAGGTTTCAAGATAGGAATAATTACTTGAGTCCGCAAAGAGTCCAACAAAGATAATTGGACGTGGTTATGCAAAAAGGATCCAACCCGAGTTTGTGTTAAAAATGTTGACTTGAAAAATAATGTTTGTGGTCTATACTATTATGTGATGTAACAATTTTAGCAAACGTAACACAAATAAGAAGAAAAATTACAAACAGACAGAAACCATACCGATAATTTCAGTATATGATATTTGATACCTCAAATATCATAAACTCAAATTAACGTATCGCGGGTTGGATCGTTTTTGCATAACTACGTACAATAATTATGCATTGTACTTCAGGCGCAGAAGGGTTAGAACCCAGAGACGTAAAACCAGTTATGAAAGAAAATGTTAGTCTGTGTCTGTGACTCTGTGATGTGATCAAAATATTATAATATAATATATTATTATTACATATCACTAAATAATTATTATTTTTTAAGTTGTTAAGAATAAAATGGAGACTAATATTTGGAGTATTTTTGTAGTTTATATGAGTTTAATTTCAATAAAATTATCTGAGTCAAATAAAATAAAAATAAGTGGACCTGGTTTACAACCTCAAAATATTGTGATGCCGGCTAGATATTTTCTGGTAAATTTTACGTATTTAAACGAAGACTCGTAAGTAATAAGTGATTTTTATTCTGTTCACATTTCAATTAAATCAATTGCTGTGATTTACGAAATGAATTCTAAACATCGACTCCCTTTATTAAAGACAAGATTTAAAGGATATTCCTTTAATCATTTTATAATAAGGAAATTACACCAAGGTGTCGATGCATATTACTCAGAGTTTCAGAAACTTTGTTTGTAAACTCTGAGCAACATGCATCGACACTTGGGTAATATATGAGGGGGCCTTATGTTTACCAGTGGTAATATTGGTTTTGAGATGGTATCAAGTACCTATATTGTTTTCTCATATTTTTTTATTGTTATCATTCGAAAAGTAAAGACTGCAATCTTATCTAAAACAGAAAATAATTGTACTGCTATTATAATCAAGTACCTGGATGATAAGTTTCTCAGCAATAAAATTTATCCAGAAAAATTTGTAAAGGAAACATTATAAATTTCATCTCAATTACTAGAACCATATCCGAGAAATCCATTACATATAAAAATATATATAATATTATTTATATATATTTTTTGTTTTAATAATTGAAAAAAGTGTTAAATAGATTTGATTTTATATGGATAAAATAATGGTATTCAGTAAGGTTACTGAAATCAAATATTTATTATTATTAAAAAAGTATGGAATAGGTTTGATTGTATATTGATAAAACAATGATTTTCTGTAAGAATACTGCCAAACATTATTTGAAAATGTTTGTAGAGTGCCTAATGTATAATAAATCTATACAAATAAATAAAATTGAAGTGTCTGTTTGTAATGTCAAAATTACAGTTTTTTACTAAATGCATATGAAAGTAAATACGATTCCTATAACTAAAATACAATTTTTAAAATTTTTGTCTGTCTGTCTGTCTGTCTGTTTGTTCCGGGTAATCTCCGAAACGGCTGAACCGATTTTGACGGGACTTTCACTGGCAGATAGCTGATTTCATAAGGAGTAACTTAGGCTACTTTTATTTTAGAAAAAGAATCAGGGTTCCGCGCAGAAACATAAAAACCCTAACACGCGAACGAAGTCGCGGGGAACAGCTAGTACTAAATATTTTATTAGCCTGTGATAATTTATTTTTGCCTAGTTGTAGGGCCATATGGGCTAGAATACTAAAGAACAGAAAACTACCTAACCACAGAACTTGCAGTGAGAAATTAGCTAAATTTTTATGAGATGAGCCAGCCCAGCCTATAAAGATAAGGAAAATAACTATATTAGTGGACATTTTTTTTTCGAGTAGGTATTGAAAAAATAAAATAATTTTCAATCATTTAAGTAGAGGTTTCTTGTTGAGCGAGGAAGTGAAATTAGAATGACTGAAAATTTGATAACAATAAATATTTGTATTCATTGGATGTAATGCTATAATTTTAATGGATAAGTTCAGTATAGATATTTGTTTTGGCTTATTGCAAAGAAATGAACACATTATACACAGAATACCAGCGTAAAATAGCAGCTTAACACTGCTGTGTTTCGTATGGTGAGTGTAGAGAACCGGAGACCCTTTTTACTGGAAAAGAGGTATTCGATCTTAGTCTTCACGCAGGTGACAACGCATCTGCATTTTGATTCACAAAAGAGGATAGATGTCTATGGGCCACAGCAACCACTTACCATCACGTTGAATGTGTGCTTGTTTGTCACCCTATCCTATAAAAAAAACTTGCAAAAATTAAGTATTAATTCAAATCATAATGTATATTTTCTGTAATTAATAAAGTACAGAGGTTAAATTTTGAGTAGTGCCAAAATTTAATTTATAGAGAAAATTTTGTTATTATTGTTGGCAACTTGCTGTACTTATTAGTAAGTACTTTGATGATGACTTTTTTATATTATCCCAGTTAACAAAGAAATTACACATAATAATATACACAGATTTCCAAATTTGTAGAAAAAAGCAGACAATAAGTGACTTCCTAAATAGTAGTGCCATGGGTCAAGGCTTCAGCACTGTTCTTAATAAAAAATGCTGGCAGGCCATCAGGACCCTGTGATTTGTAAAAATCAAGAGTTTATAAGGAGCTATAGGACAACTTTATCATTTATATATATATTATTCATATTAGACATTACTGAAACAAAAGCTTAGTGGTGGGTTGAACTAGATTGAGAAACCGAATCAATAAAGTTCGAAAGAAAAAAATTTAGGAAAACTACATATAGAATCATCACTATTGTCCACAGACCGTAAAAGTATCTTTTCAAAAAACTAATTCTAAGATCTTTCTGTTAGCATTTAGAACATTGTTATATTGAGTTAGACCCAGTAAATTTAATCTATACTCTATCTATACTAATATAATAAAGTGGATGAGTTTTTTGTTTGTTTAAACAGGCTAATCTCTGGAACTACCAGTTTGATTTGAAAAATTATTTTTATACTAGGTGTGCCAGAACGTAATGATCAAACAAAAGGGGGTTGTAGACCATGGAAGGACTGTTCCAAAAAAAAAATTAAGTTCTGTACCCAAGTTGCCTGGTTTAAAAGATAAAGGATGATTTATAAGTTTTCCCTTTGCCTCAATATTTTTGATGCTGCAGCTGCAAATGAAGACCGATTTAATTTTTTTTCTGTTTTGTACAGCCTAATCATAAGCCAACTATACCTACTATTTTATTTTTCAGTACCTATTACGGTTTGGTAGAAATAAATACATAAAAATTCGTAAAAGTGTAAAAATGTAACATAAAAGTTTTATTGAGCAAGTTGGATCCTTCACCCTGTAAAAAAATGTACTCATATGGACCTGGCAACTGTATTCAAAAGTTGGCACAATTCATGTAGATTTCATAATGGTTTTTTTTTTCAAAACTTCAATTTTTTGTACTATAATTTTTTTCTCGCAGAGGGTAGATTTTGTGAAACAATTCAATTAGATATTTTTTAAATGATTTGTCCGTTCGATTAATGTAAAGAAAAATAATTTATTTTCACGCTGATTTGGCCGATTTTAGATCTAATATCCATAGAAAAGTAAAAAGTAGTTAATTTTTTTATCCAATTTTGGTATTAAACAAAATACATTCAAAATTACAATACATATGATGCTTCTCAGCTTTAGTTGCTATGACGCATAGGAGTATGTACTTTTTTTTTCTTTGCACTTACATGTAAATGCAAGCGAGACAGAAGACAGGGAAGTAACTAGAATATGCACAGCTCAGGTAGGTAATATCCTTTCCTTTACCTCCCCCATATCCTTTGTTTTCAACAACGAAATCAAACAAATAAATAAATAGTCAGTACTTTGCCCTACTTTGTTCGCATCGCACGTTTCTCCTGTTTTCTATATTATGACCAGCACGGTCACGGGACCTTAATCCATTGGATTTTTTTTAGGTATAGTAGGAAAACGATTAGGCTGTACAAAACAGAAAAAAAAATTTAAATCGGTCTTCATTTGCAGCTGGAAAATTTATAAATCATCCTTTATCTTTTAAACCACGCAACTTGGGCTTAGGACTTTTTTTTTTTTTGACCTCATTTGACAATTATTTTTTGCTCATTGGACATTTATTTATTTTATAGCCCGTAAATATTATTTGCAATCGATATGAAACAATCGTATTTACTTTTTATTAATACAGTAATTTTTTAAAATTGATCTAAAGACTGGATTAGAGCAAGTGCTATTACAGTACGCACTTATGGCCCCCGGTAGTTTGTTGTCTGCCTGGGTGATACAACCACAATATATGTCTGTCATGAAAATTATACATGTCAAATAATATTATCAAAAATATATATAAATTGCAGCTTTATTGAAATAACTTAAATTATTAATAAAAAATTGACTTTTCAACCTGTCTGCCATGACCTTGAAACCGTCATAGTTTCTGCCAATGTTATTTTCGCTGACTTTTATTAAATATTTCAAGATGTCAAAGCGGCAGACTTATTGCTATCACGTTTTTTTGGGTCTATTTTTTACACCTTTAACACCTGATTGACTCTATATATCGACCGCCGGTCAAACTAAAGAGTCCTATCACCTATTTAAGAGATAATAAAAATAAAATAATTCAACACTTATCGGCGCGCGAACGACGCATAAGCCCAAGCCCTATGAGAACCGAGAGAAACAAGCAGTGAACGTGAAAGTTTCACTGAGCGAGGTTAGTTCAATCATGTTAGGTTAAAAAATTCGTAAAATTAATGGAGTACTTTTATCTATCGGTATATGTACGTTATAGAGCAAAGTTACATTTTATCCACTCACCCTCCTCCTCCCGGGTGAGCGTCACCTCCCCGCACCCCAAAACTCAAGAAAAATGTTTAGGTACCTAATTATTCTTGATAAATAATGGCGGGGGGGGGGGGGGGGAGCAATGAATGTTACCAGTTTGCAACATATCATTGATATGCAGAAGAAACAGCGTTGGTGATAGCACACAGCCTTGTGGAACACCAGCGTTAATAGGCTTGTAGTTGGAGCATGCACCGTCTTCAACGACCTTGATGCTCCGAAACTGGTGATCCAATTGCACAATTTCTCGGGAAGCCCATAGGAAGGGAGCTTCAAAAGAAGCGCTTTGTGCCAAACCCGATCGAAGGCCTACGCAATGTCCAAACTAACGGCCAACGCCTCCCCCTTGGACTCTACTGCCTCCGCCCATCTATGAGTCAGGTAGACCAGAAGATCACCAGCTGATCGACCCCGACGAAAACCGTATTGGCGGTCACTAATCAGCTGGTGATCCTCAAGGTACCGTATGAGCTGACAGTTAATAATGGATTCCATTATTTTGGAGAACAAGGAGGTGATGGCGATAGGCCTGTAGTTGGACGGGTCTGAGCGGTCGCCTTTTTTAGGGATCGGGTGGACAAAAGCTGTCTTCCATAATTTCGGGACTAAGCCTAGGGAGTAGGAGTACTGGAAAAAATGCGTTAGAACCGGTGCCAACTCCGGAGCACACGTCCTCAGCACAATTGGGGGGATTCCGTCATGCCCACTCGACTTGTGGGTGTCCAGGGAG